CCTCCTCCTCCTCCTCCTCCTCCTCCTCCTCTCGTCCTCGTCCTCCTCGTCCTCCTCCCCTCTCCTCTCTCCTCCTCCTCTCCTCCTCCTCCTCCTCTTCCTCCTCCTCCTCCTCCTCCTCCTCTACCACTTCATGTCACCCCTCCTCGCCCCCCTCCTCGCACGTACGACTCATCCTTATCGTGTTTGTGATGTCTCCGTCTCTCCTCCTCCTCCTCCTCCTCCTCCTCCTCCTCCTCCTCCTCCTCCTCCTCCTCGTCCTCCTCCTCCTTTACCTCCTCATCGCACTCCGCGTGCGGCATCTCGGAGCGCAGAGTTGCAAGGATGTCTCGGGCAAAACGCGCTGGACCACCTCGCGTGCGGCATCTCAGAGCCCAGAGTTGCGAGGATGTCTCACGTGGCGCCCACCCCTCCCAGAGCAGAATCCAGCCGCAAAAGTGGAATCAAATGGTTCGATGGGTCTGACCCTTTCTCTCTTCTCCTCCTCTCACTCGGAGTTCAGAATTTCGAGGATGTCTGAGGCGAAACGGGGCGGAACACCTCGCGCGCACCATCTCGGAGCCCTGAATTGCGAGGATGTCTCAGACGAAATGGGCTGGACCACATCTCGCGCGGCATCTCGGAGCTCAGAGTTGCGGGGATGTCTCAGCAAAATTCGGTGGACCACCTCGCGAGCGGCATCTCGGAGCTCATAGCTATGACGATGTCTCATGCGAAACGGGCCGGACCACCTCGCGCGGGGCATCTCGGAGCCCAGAATTGCGAGGATGTCAAAGGCGAGACGGGGCGGAACAACTCGCGTGCGGCATCTCGGAGCTCGGAAGTTCGAGGACGTCTCGGGCCAAACAGGCTAGATCAATTTTCGTGGGGCATCTTGGAGCTCAGAGTTGTGAGGACGCCTCGGGCGAAACGGACCAGACCACCTCGCGTGTGGCGTCTCGGAACCCAGAGCTGCGAGGAGGTCCCAGGGCGAGACGGGCCGGACCACCTCGCGCGCGGCACCTCGGGGAGCCCAGAATTGCGAGGATGTCTCGGGCGCAACGCGCCGGGCCACCTCGAGCTCCCAATCTCGGAGCCCGGTTGCGAAGGTGTCTCGTGCGAAATGCACCAGACCACCTCGCGCGCGGCATCTCGGAGACCAGAGTTGCGAGGACGTCTCAAGCGGATCGCGCAGGACCACCTCTCGCAAAGCACCTGGGGGCCCAGAGTTGCGAGGATGTCTCAGGCGCAACGGGCTGGACCACCTCGCGCGCGGCATCTCGGACATCAGAGTTGTGAGGATGTCTCAGGCGAAACGTCCTGGACCACCTCATTTGTTTGACGATGTCTGCTACTACCACAACGGCTTCTACCACAGCAGCACCCCGGCTTCTACCACAACAGCACCCCAATCTGTTCAGCTGCCGGGGGGAAGAATGCGCACACCTTGGAGAGGCGCATCTCTACGACCACCAGCTCCCGCCAGCCTCCCGCGGGCTTCCGCCGAAGGAGCCGCCCTGGTGTTGCTCCCGCCGCCTCCCCCTGGCCTTCCGCCGCCTTCCGCCGAAGAAGAGACGCCAACTCGAAGGCGAGGCCCTTTCCGGAGCGCCCAGGCCAGGCCCAGCCAGAGGGCAGCCAGAGGGCATGGGAGGGGATCTGGCTGAGCCCCGCTTTCTTGGCCCGAGGCTTAGGTCGGGCGTGTCCTCCTGCAGGCGGATTTTGGAAGTCGATGTTACGAGAATCGAAAAAAATCAGAAATAGTGAAAAAAATCCTCCCCATACGATTTTCGGACTATATTTGCATTTTCCTCCTGTAGAGGGACATGCCCGACCTAACCCGAGGCACGAAGTGAAGGCCCGTGGACCTCCACCCCCGACGTCGTGACTCTGTCGCAGCGCGGCTCCCCGAAGGTCTGGGCCCCTTCCCCGACACCGGCTCTTTGTCCCAGGTCGTTCTTTGACGGTCCTGGGGCCCGGCGAGGGCCCCCAGAGACAGAAAAGCTCGAACACTGCCCGTCTCGCTGTTTCACACACGTGGAAGGTCTGGGGACCCTCGGTACTCGTGTGCTTCGTGGCGACGTTGGCGCGCCCCGAGTCAATCGGCGGAAAGAAAACAGATTACCATGGCCAAGACGGTGCACAGAAACGTCCGTGCCGATCTTGGTAATCGTCCATCTTGGTCATCGTCGATTCGTGGGTCATCCTCGCGGATCGGCGATGGCTGGCATTGACCATGACCAAGATCGGCGTTGATAAGCTCTCGCAACATTTTGGTCAGGGTCAGCGTGTTTTACCTCGAGGACTAGATGCTCGCTCTGGGGACCTTCCTGGAGACAATCGCAGGGAACCGAACTCTATACACCGACGCCTTTGTCTGGCCTCACACTGGATCTCGCACAGGAAAGCGGATCCTGGTGTATACGGGATCCTGGTGTATACATTCTTCGTTGTTTCCCTGGGGAAACGGAGGAAAAAGTATACACCACACCACCCCGACGTCGTCCCCGACCCTCCAAAAAGTCCTGGGATTGAAAAGCCGCCCCGCCACTGGTAATGCATGTGCTCCAATTTCTGAAATCGCTCCACTCTTGCATGGATGCTGCGTCGAAAGTCTGTCACACTCGAGCCGAACCCGACTCGAGTCGAACTTGAGTCGAGATGGGGTCGAACTGCAGCCGAAGCTGAACCGAACTCGGGCTGGGGCGATCCAGCTCGTGCCCTTCGCCATCACCCCGCCACACGTACATGCTCGTGCCCCTCGTGCTCCCCCCCTCGCATCCTGCGGCTTGTTGACCCACCGGTAGTAGGCCCCCCTGCAGAAGCGCAGGCCCGCCTCCCGGTCCGGCGCGCCGGTGCACGCCTGCTCTCGGGCCGCCCCGGCGCGAAGATCGATATATGCACGACGACCAGAAGCCTGCACCTCGCCGTCGCTCGGACGCCCATGCCCTGTGTTTTGTTCCCGGTTTCGTGCGTGGCTTTCTCGCCAAAGGATCGAGGATGCTCCTCGATGGTCCTCGCCGAAGGAAACATGCACGCGTCCGAGCGATGCCAAGGCACGGCCTGCGCCCGGGTGCCCGTGGGGCTTGCTGCGGGCATGCGGCCGGCGCTGGAGGAGCTTCACGCACAGCGGAGGCCACTCCACGAGAGAAACCTTGCACACAGGAAGCCCCGCCCCGAGAGGCCCCAGGATTGGAGGCCTGGAAATGGGCACCAACACCAAGACAGGGGGCTGCCTGCACAAGGAGGAAATGTTCCTAAATTTCGGCGTTGGTGGTAATATTCCGGTCACCTCGAAGCCAGAATATTACCACCATCACCGAGATCGGGATCTTCTTCCCTCGGTGGAGGAACACCGCCGATATTGGTGTTGGTGTCAATCTCCGGGAAACCAACAGGAGGTCCACCGGCGTGTTGGTGTGGGAGCGTCGCGCGTCTTCCGTGGCAGAACCGTCGGAGCCCAAGAAGCCCAGAGCACCCCGGAGGCCAGCAGGGTGCTTCTCGGCATGGGCCCCCACGCTGTGCAACATCGACTTCCGCAGAGCACGCCAGTCATCCCCGTGAGGCGGTCCCCCGCAAGGCCAACTCCGTGCGCGCCCGCCGACTCCGACGGGCCTCCCCGGGAGGCGCGATCCGTTGCCAGCTGCGGCCGGCGCTGGGAAGATAGCGTGCAGCACCGAGCCGCTGTCCCCGTGAGGCGATCCCCCCGCAATTGCCCCGCCTGTGCGCGCCCTCGCCATCGCTCGGACGTCCATTCCCTGTGTTTGTTTCGGTTTCGTGCGTGGCTTTTTCGCCAAATGATCAAGGATGCTCCTCGATGGTCCTCGCCGAAGGAAAAATGCACGCGTCCGAGCGATGCCCAGCGCCAGCCCCCTGCCAGGGCTGCTTCGGTGCACGCCATGCCCAGGGTGGAAGGTGACTATAGCGTGCCACGAGCGGGCAGGCGGCGCCACACCGCACGCCGTCTACTTTCTTGACGCCACCCGTGGGGGGACCGTGGGCGGATGCCCGCGGTGAGAGACAACAAGATAGCGATGCCGCTGCTCTTAGTTCGGGCGTGTCTTCCTGCAGGGGGATTCTGGGCGAGAATCAAAAAAACACCTTAAGCATATCCAAAACTGACGAACACAATACTCGACTCAAAGGATCGTTCCCAGACTAGTTTGTAGCTACTTTTGACTATTCCTCCTTTAGAAAGAGAGGCCCGACTTCACGCTACTCCCGGACCTTTCCCGGGGGTGCGTTCTGACCAGAATTTCGAAGAATGTCCGGTCGTGGCGACGAGAGCTCCCCAGGACGAGCAGCGGTGTTGGTATTTCTTTTCCTCCTCTGAGTCGGTGGGAAGAGATCTGGCCTCATCTGGCTTTCAAGCGGGCCGCAAGTGCCCTAAAGTGCCGAGGGGAACAAAAATTCCCGGGCGCGAAGTGGACTGGCCCCTGCAAGGGCACCTCACAGCCCTTTTCATCAGCTATAGTCTATCGGGAGCGGCAAAGAGGGGGGTGTCCAAGAGGGGGGGGGGTGCAAATCATGACCGGCGGCATGTGCGCGGCCCAGCGGGGGAACCCAGGGACGTAATGAAATCAGAAGAGGCGCTATGGAATCTGAGGAGAAATCATGGCCCGCGCCATGAAATCCACCCCCCCCTAGTCATCACCGCCCTCTTTTCCGCTCCCCCTTTGCATCAGCTATAGTCTAGGCCATTCGTAACCACCACAGCCCCGAAGCAACCCCCACGGTGATCCAGGCAACGTCTCTCCCCGAGAGTTCGGCCTCTGGGGCCCGCCATTAAAGGGGCCCCAGGACACACAAATAAATACACACAGATAAAACTATTCCCAACATTTTCCCATAATTTCTGGGTTTCTGTCTTCCCACCCACCTCCCATATTTTCCCATATTTTCTGGGGAATCGAGGATTAATTGTCTCTGTGTGTTTCTTTTCCTCCTGAGTCATCGGGCCCCGGGGCCGTCGGACATGGACCTGGGGCGAAAAAGTACCCCCCAGGGAAAGGGTCGGGACCCCCCTTGAGAGATCCGACGTGGCGAAAAAGATGCAGCATTGTGAAAATCCGCGCCCGGAGCCCTGGACACCATCTTTCTGCGCCATGTTTTGAAACAGATCGATCTGTGAGGGTCCCGGGGCCCGAAATGGAGCGAAAACGCCTTCTGTGAAAGGATTGCAACTCCAAGATCTCAGGGTCTGCAGACAATTAACGTCGTCGGACAAACCACGTCGGATGTCCGGGACAGGGGGAGAGCAGGTAGGGGAACGAAGAATGACATGAACATAAAAACTCGAAGGTCCGCGCGGGATTCTCGGATCGGCGCTGGGGCCCCCTGGCGGCGCCTCCAGCGCCGCCCCCCGCGCGCTCCGGGCGCCAGGGAGGGGGGTCCAGCGCGGATCCGAGCAATCTGCGCGGACCTCCGAGTTTTTATGCTTATGCCATTCTTCGCTCCCCTGGCAGGGAAGGGGGAGTAGACCGAATCAGCTCGCGTTGCTGGCTCTCCGGGCGCTCTCGGGCGCCGGAGGCGCCCGAGGGCTGCGGAGAAGCGCCCAGCGGCGGGGCCGAAGCCGGCTGCGCGAAGCAGACGTCGTCGACCCCCCCCCCCATTCAGGAGGAGGAGGAGGAGGAGGACGACGACGAGGAGGACGAGGAGGACGAGGAGGGGGAGGAGGACGAGAAGGAAGGAGGAAGGAGGAGGAGGACGAGGAGGATTCCGTCCGACCCGAGCCTTCTCGGCGGCAGAGATGAACTTCGGGGCGTCCTTCAGCCTGCCGGAGCGCCGCAGCAGGAAGATCAGCTTGGAGAGCGCGTTGTAGTTGCAGGGCTTCTTCTCGAGCAGGGCCTGGTAGTAGAAGGTCGCGTCCTTGTACTCCTGGGCCCCGCCGTCGCTGCGGCTGCCGTTGGCGGCGAGCATCATCATGAGCTCGGCCATCAGCATCGAGGCCTCCTCGTTGGCTGGGTCCACGCGGAGGAGCTGCATCAGCTGCTTCTCGCAGATGTCCAGCTCGTTCTTGTTAAGGTGGATCCGGGAGAGCGCCAGTATGCTCTTCTCGTGCCCGTCGTCGTGCCGCAAGGTCTCGCCGTAGTACCCGACGGCGTACTCCATGTTGCGCTCCCGGGTCTCGTAGTACTCACCCAGCATGAAGTTGAGCTCGGCGCTCTCCTGCTTCAGCTGCTTCACCATCTCCTGTGACGGCAAACCAACTCTAAACCGACACCGATTTGGGGCCTGGCCAGTCCCGGGCCCGGGATCGGTGCACACGGCTCCCTGGCCAAGCCACACGGGCACACAGGCGTATGCGCCGACCTCAGGCCCAGGGCAGGCCAGGTCGGTCAGAGTCGGTGTCGATGTGTGGTTGTCGTCGCTGGGTGTCGACAAGCGCGTTCTACTACTCGCAAGGTCGCTACTCGCAAATGGCCTGGATCTGCCGCAGGGAACGTGCGATAAATTACACCAAGGCAGACCTATGGTTTTTCGGCGTTTGCGAGTAGGCACTTTGCGAGCAGTGAAACGCGCTCGGCGAGGGCGGCCTCGTCTTCGACGCGCACCTGGGAGAGCATGTCGTTCAGCAGGTTCAGGGCCTGCCGGAGGCACTCCGAGCACTCGGGCACGGCGGACTGCGAGGCGCCGCCAGCGGCCGCGCGGGCGTCGGCGGAGTGGCGGTGCACCTTCGCAAGCTCGACGAGGACGTCTATCTTATACCTTTTCGCCTTCGGGTGGGGTCTGAGGGCGAGAGCAGGAGGGCAACGCCTGTGGATGCCTCGGGCCCTCCGGGGCGCCCCTGGAGGCTTCTCGAGGCCTCTAGAACCCCCTGGGGACCTCCAGGGACCTCTGGAAACCCCTCCAGGCCCTCGCCTTTGGGCTGTCGTCCATGACGGTGTCTTTTGCCTCCTTCAGCTCCGCGATCGCGTCGTCCCAGCGCTGGAGCCGCACGTACAGCTTCGCCAGATCCTGCCGCAGCTCCATCTGACCCTCCCGCCGCCTGAGGGCGTCGTGGTAGTAGCGGATGGCCTGCTCGTAGTCGTGCGTCTGCATCATGGCCTTGCCGATCTTCCGCACGAGGGACGGGTCACCCTTCGACTTGTCGACCTCCATGGCCTGCTGGAACGCCTTGATGGCGTCGGTGGGCTCCTGTATCGCAAGCAGGGCGTCGCCGAGAGTCAGATAGTTCTGAACCGTGGGCTGCTGGTCGATGATGGCCTTGTAGCAGCGCGCGTAGGCCTTCTTGTCCTTCCGGTGCTTCAGGTAGATGTCCGCCTGCGCGGCCTTCGCCGTGGCGAACTGGGGGTGGTCGGGCTTCAGGGTCCTCAGCATGTTGATGGCCTGGTCGATCTCGCCCTTCTCGATGGCCAGCTGGCTGTTGGCCACCAGGACCTTCACCTCCTCCGAGGTGCCCGCGAATTCCGCGATGGCGTGCTTCACCGTCTCCGTGGCCTCCGGCAGGCGCTTCAGCCTGGTCAGCACGGAGACCAGGAGGGTGAACAGCGACGCCCGGTCCTGTGTGGAAGGCTTCGAGCT